AGCTGACAATATTGGTTCTTTTGATGTGCCCCGCTCCCCTGCCTGGAAAATAAACTTTACATTACTGACATTAAAAGAAAGTCATATCTTTACATGGGTCATTGATTGAGTCCAGCCATTTCATACACATTCAACATACAGAAGAAATTGCATCATGCATTATTTATGCAGTAGCATCGGTTGGTTAAATACATATGACTGATACATACAATACATTTCAAAGTAAAGGCAGAGTTCTATCACATAATGCTCCTGAACTTAGAATAAAATTCCGGTATAAGGAAAACTGTTATCATTGTTTAATATAATTGAAATCAATATTTTATATTATAGAATACGTATATTTGTTATTGCATATACGTAAATACCTCTTTTAAGTGCTTATCCAGGCTTTTCCTTGCTCTAGTCAGGTGCCTATCACGTTTTCGAGATGCCCAACACTTGAAAACTTAAAATATTGCATCCTCTGTGTATATTGCTATGCAATACATACATATTTAAGTAACTTTTATCAGTGTATCTAAAGCATACTCTTGCTACATGGTGACAGCCATCTTTTAATTCTCTGTGGTCAGGATCACAACAATCATGCAAGTAACGAAGAGCTAGTATGATTTTCTGATTTCTGATATCATGTGCAGTTGTCGGCCATTTCAAAACTAATTGCACCCTGGGATGGTTTCAGACCTTTAAATTGGTTACAACAGATAATTGGTGCTTCTGACCGAACAGGGCTAATTATGGCCACCTCCACCTATACTGGAAAGTTATTAACATATATTTATTCCTTGCAAAGAAAACAATCAAAACAAGACTGTATTATATGAAATATTTTATTTTCATTATTATTAAATACAAGTTTTACTTTAAGGAAATCTTCTGTATGGAAAATTCAAGGCTGTGATTTGATGAAGTATCTGAGAGTCAAGCAAACAAAATCTTGTTATCTCAGAGAAGGGAGTAAGACATAAGAAAGGTTAACCTTCATTAAAGGACAACTATAGTGCCAGGAAAACATACTTGTTTTCCTGGCTCTATAGGGTAATTGGGCCCCCCTCACCCTCGGGGCCCCCCTCACCCTCAGGGCCCCCCTCCCGCCGTGCTCTAGGGTGTTGAAAGGGTTAAACACTTACCTTTTTCCAGCTCTAGGGAATCTCCTCCTTCTTCTGCCGTCATCGGCTGAATGCGCATGCGCGGCAAGAGCCACACGTGCATTCAGCCAGTCTCATAGGAAAGCATTCTCAATGCTTTCCTATGGACGCTGGCATCTTCTCACTGTGAGCGCCTCTAGCGGCTGTCAATGAGACAGCCACTAGAGGCTGGATTAACCCATTTGTAAACATAGCAGTTTCTCTGAAACTGCTATGTTTACAGCAGAAAGGGTTAATCCTAGATGGACCTGGCACCCAGACCACTTCATTAACCTCTTCAGGACGGAGTCAATAGTGCACGTTTTGATCAAAACAAAAAGTAAACAAAAAGTGGAATTTGCGCTATATGTCTGTTCAGCCTTAATTCAACGCTGTCACATTAAGTGCACCCACACTTATTATACATAATTTTGTTCAGGAGAAACAGGGCTTTAATTTATCATTAACTATTCATATATGGAACATAATTTATTATGAATACAATTTTAAAAAATGTGAGAAAATAAGATTGTTTTAAAATTTGTATTTCCGTCTGACATTTTAGCTGTGAATGTCATAATACTGTTAGGTTTTACTGCAAAAAAAATGCACATATTTGTAATAATTTTTTATGGTGTTTTGGAAAGTTACAGACTGCTCTGTTGAGCGATCACATGGCCACAGGGGTCCTAATCCGCCATGGGGAGACTGTCTGGGCTGCAGGCACTCTCCCCACACGGGGAGCACCACCGATCGCTGCCGGGGGAACAACGGCGATCGGGTAAGTACATTAGACCGTTAGGACGGTTCAGGACCGTCACCGGTCGGCAATGGAAAAATGCCGATGACGGTCCTGAACCGTCCTTGGTCGTTAAGGGGTTAATATTAATATAAGTACATATATTAGTATTAAAATACACTTAGAATGACGTTACATATATATATATATATAATAGATATATACACATATATTATATATATATATATATATAAACAAAAATTAAAATCAAAAATCAAAATGCACTCACAGGTCTTCTGGTTAATAGGAAAACTGGTGCTTTAATAAATCATCTGTGATGTACAAAAAAATCAATCGACGTTTCGACCCTGCCGGGTCTTTTTCAAGATCCAAGATATTGCCTTTGAGAGCATATGGTAGCCCACGAATGAGAATTACCCCCATGATGGCACACCATTTGCAAAAGAAGACAATGCAAGGTATTGCAAATGGGGTATGTCCAGTCTTTTTTAGTAGCCTCCTAGTCACAAACACTGGCCAAAATTAGCATTCAATTTAGTTTTTCACTTTTTTCACACACAAACAAATATGAACGCTAACTTGGGCCAGTGTTTGCGACTAGGTGGCTACTAAAATATACTGGACATACCCCATATTGAATACCCTTGGTTGTCAACTTTAAAAAAAATATGTACATGTTGGGTGTTATTCAGAGATTTATGACAGATAATAGTGTTACAATGTCACTGTCACGAGCGTGGGCTATAGGCCCAGCCGAGACAGTGGGGAGAGTGTGGAAGTGACAGGGTTAATGACACCAGACCCCTGGTTACCTGTTGCTAGTCCCAGCAACCACTCAATTAACCCCTGCAATCCCTTCTACACTAACCCCCTTAGTACTACTGCCACCACCAAGACTTTTAAACCCGGGCGTCTTAGGTTACCCCACACACAGGAGAATTATAGTATCACCGTTCTACTTTTACTGATAAAACATATATAGTTAACCCTTTTTGGTAACGTGTGTACCTGAGCTTTCCTCTGGAGAGTGAAGCTCATAGAGAACAGAGACACAAGCTGATTAAGTAAACATTTAATCTGACAAAAAGGATTCACAGTGCTGAATACAAAATACAGAAATAAATGAAATACAGATAACAAATTGCAAAACAGTACATAAAATAAAATAGGAGAAAACACAAGAAATTCCTTACATATATTTACCCCATATAGAATTCTTGTGGGAGTCTTAGATGGTATAGATCTCCTAGAAGTTACTGACAAAAGAAAAGATGAATAACTGGCTTCCCTGGATAGTCCAACACCCTCATATATCTAAACTAGTTGTTTCTCAGTGGGCAGACCCCTGGGGGGGGGATCAGAGGGGGTTGGTCTGGCAGTCTATTGCCCACTCTATGAAATTCCTTGTGTCCAGCTCTGGTGATGGCTATCTAGATGTTTTATGGTCTAGGCCTGGTGCAAGATCAAAGACCACAATAAATGTCATCCCAAGGTTTACAAAAAAACTACTCTTAACATATATAAACACACATCAAACACCAACTCATGCTTTTGGCATGACACCTCCCCCTTAAGATGGTGGACAGAAAAATTCAGCCACAGGCTGATTTATCTGTCTACCATTAACCCTCTAGTTGCCGAGACAGGCCATCTGCCCTTTTTGTGCTGGGCAGTGAAATTATACTGTTGGAGGATAGGGCTCCAATGGAGCAGTTTATCATTGTTACCTGTCACCTGCAGCAGGTTGTGATCAGTCCATACCACAGCTACACCCTCAACAAACATGCCTGATTTGCCTGTTTCAATTTCCCATCGATCTCTGGTAACATCCCTTAAACCACACCCACTGCGCTCATGTAGTAGCTGTAAAGGGAAGAAACCAATCGATTTCTGCAGCACTCCCCGGTAAGCACACAAAAAAGCAGACAGAGAACACCCCCAGGATAGATGTGCTGTATCAACATCCATCATCTCTTTAATTTTGCGGTCTGTCTGCTGGGCTTGTTGCACTATCAGACTCTGAACCTTTGGTTCACAATCAGAAAGTTGCCTAGGTGTATGCGTGAGTTGTGATAAACTGACAAGGTTCCTGGTTCCTCCAACAGTATGTTTCCCTGCAGCCATCCTTCCTGGACCCACAGGCTGAGTCTGTCCGTGCCCCTCACTTTCACTCAGTGTATCACATACATCTGCTTCAGGCACATATTGGCACATATATTCATTCAGCCCCCTCTCGCTGGAAGGCTTTTCCCATACATTTTCACAGGACACATTTGACCCCCCTTGATCAGATACAGAATTTTGCACACACTCACATAATTTCTTCTCCAGGGCAGGCCCTCCTCTCACAATCTCACATAGCACCTCAGACTGTCCTGCTGCAGCCCTGACCCACTGTTGACTTGTTACCACTGCGACTAGTGGTACACATCCCTGGCTCTCACCTTCCTCCTCCCCCTTACTCTCTGACATCCCAGCCTCACAGTATTTTGATACAGGCACATCACTACTCACCCCTATCTCACATTTGGTAGACATCACTGGTTCAGTTACAGGTAGATATTTATCCACACCCTGCTCTCCCTCCCAGCAATCACACTTCACAATGTCTCCCAAAGTTTCACACAATACCTTAGGTGGAGCAGTCAGCCCTTCTGGCTCACAGACAGTGTCCGCTGGAGCATAGTGACAGAGCATCCTGCCCAAATCATTCCCCAACAGAACATTAACAGGGATATCCTCTGAAATCCCCACTTCCCGCAAACCTTTGCCCGCACCCCAATCAAGGTACACACGTGCCAAGGGCACAGCGGGGCGTACACCCCCAATTCCTTTGATGGACATGGTCCTTCCAGGGATTATGTCCTCCGTATTCACCACTTCAGGTCGCACCAGGGTGAAGGAAGCTCCAGAATCTCTCAGTCCCATGGTCACTCGGTCACCCACAATTACACTCTGCAGGTTATCCTCTCGTTTCCCCACAGACCCACCCACAAGCAATACTGATGGTGCCCCTCCACGGACTGGTGAGGGCATATTCCTAGTGGGGCAAGTCCTGCTCAGATGACCAATCTGGTTGCATCGAAAACAACGGCGGGCATCTGACTCACTTGACATAGCCCCGGCTACGCTGGCAGTCGGCGGTGAAGTTCTCACTGCAGATCTTACAAGTGGTGTTTGAACTGTAGCTTCTCTCCAGGTCGAAGTAGCAGCTGACACAAGTCCACGCCTGGATGTGGGTGCATGGATGTCGGCATAGTCATCTGCCAGTTCTGCAGCAGCCCTAGCATTTTTTGGCTTTCTTTCCAAAATCCACTCTCGTACATTAGGGCTCCGGGTCTGCAAGAACTGCTCTAGGACCAGTAAGTCATTAAGGGCTTCATAGGTAGTAGCTTGTACTCCTGTTACCCATTGCCGGAACGTGGTTTCTAATTGTGCAACATATAGAATGCAGCTGGATGATGGGCATTGCTGCATACTCCTAAACTTTTTCCTGTAAGACTCAGGAGTAAGGTTAAAAGTTTTTTGCAATGCAGATTTGATTGCCTCATAGTTGTTATCAGTCTCTGGGGGAAGGGACACAAACACATCCAAGGCTTTCCCTTTCAGTTGTGGAGTTAAATATCTGCCCCACTGGTCTGAGGGTAGTTGATGCTGCCTGCATACTTTCTCAAAACTTTTTAAAAATACATCCAAATCTGTCCCTTCTTCGAGGGAAGGAAAATCATCCTTACGGAGCCTACGTGTGCTGGACTCTGATGCATTGCTGTTCAGTGAGGACTGAAGGGTAAATTGCAGTTTAGCAAGTTCCAGCTCATGTCTCCTTTGTGCCTCCCTTTCGGCTAGCCTCTCTGCAGATTCCCTTTCTGCAGCCTGCTGTTGGATCATCACCTGCAGGGCCTCCTGAGGATTTGCAGCCATCAGTTGCCGAAATAAATCAGTTGAGCAAATGTCCTTAATCTTTTGAGGGGTACAACCACCAGGCATTTCAGTAAGCAACACTCCTGCAGTAGTAGGGAGCTCGGTAACCCTTTCAGTGTCCGTCTCTGGCTGCAAAATATGGTTGTCAGCCTCCACAAGGTCAGCAATAAGTTGTGCCTTATTTTTGCCAAAAGTTGGTAAATTCTTTTCTTGGCACAACAATTCCAAGGCCTCTTTTGATTGTTTGCGATAGGCCTCCATATTCACAAATAGGATAGAGAAAGAAAAACAAAAGATGGGAGGGGAGAACTGTTTTGCACTTTGTATGTATTTTAAATCAGCACTGAGCTTGGTCTTTGGAAATTACACAAAAACAAGTATGCAATTTCTTTTAGTGCTAAGACCCCCTTTACAGGTAAAATCTAGCAAGCACTAAAAATCTCTAAATATATCCCACTAGCTGCCGCCAGTTTGTCACGTGCGTGGGCTATAGGCCCAGCCGAGACAGTGGGGAGAGTGTGGAAGTGACAGGGTTAATGACACCAGACCCCTGGTTACCTGTTGCTAGTCCCAGCAACCACTCAATTAACCCCTGCAATCCCTTCTACACTATCCCCCTTAGTACTACTGCCACCACCAAGACTTTTAAACCCGGGCGTCTTAGGTTACCCCACACACAGGAGAAATATAGTATCACCGTTCTACTTTTACTGATAAAACATATATAGTTAACCCTTTTTGGTAACGTGTGTACCTGAGCTTTCCTCTGGAGAGTGAAGCTCATAGAGAACAGAGACACAAACTGATTAAGTAAACATTTAATCTGACAAAAAGGATTCACAGTGCTGAATACAAAATACAGAAATAAATGAAATACAGATAACAAATTGCAAAACAGTACATAAAATAAAATAGGAGAAAACACAAGAAATTCCTTACATATATTTACCCCATATAGAATTCTTGTGGGAGTCTTAGATGGTATAGATCTCCTAGAAGTTACTGACAAAAGAAAAGATGAATAACTGGCTTCCCTGGATAGTCCAACACCCTCATATATCTAAACTAGTTGTTTCTCAGTGGGCAGACCCCTGGGGGGGGGGGATCAGAGGGGGTTGGTCTGGCAGTCTATTGCCCACTCTATGAAATTCCTTGTGTCCAGCTCTGGTGATGGCTATCTAGATGTTTTATGGTCTAGGCCTGGTGCAAGATCAAAGACCACAATAAATGTCATCCCAAGGTTTACAAAAAAACTACTCTTAACATATATAAACACACATCAAACACCAACTCATGCTTTTGGCATGACAGTCACTATTGATAAATTTGAAAAAATTTGTTTTGAAACCCCAATATCCTACTTGTACCTATAGCCCTATAACTTGCAAAAAAAGCAAAAAAGCATGTAAACACTGGGTATTTTAAAACTCAGGACAACATTTTGAATCTATTTAGCAGTTTTTTTTATTCGCTTTTGTAGATGAGTAAAAAAAAATTCAAGTAAAAGTCAAAAAACATGTATTTTTTCAATTTTTCATATTTTTTTTAAATTAAATTACATGAGATTATATAAATAATGGTATGTAAAGAAAGCCTTTTTTGTCCTGAAAAAAACAATATATAATTTGTATAGGAACAGTAAATGAGAGAGCGGAAAATTACAGCTAAACACAAACACCACAAAAGTGTATAAAGAGGCCTGGTAGCAAATGTACATCGCAAAAACAGTCCAGTCCTTAACCCCTTAAGGACCAAACTTCTGGAATAAAAGGGAATCATGACATGTCACACATGTCATGTGTCCTTAAGGGGTTAAGGGGTTAAAATACACTTTCTATGACGTTACATATATATATAATTATATAATTATATATTTATTTATTTATTTAACATTTATTTTATTTTTAAACCTGTTGAATACATTTTTTTTTTACTTTCCCACCAGCAGGGGGACTGTCTGACATTTGTCAGGCAGCCCTCCAGAAGAGGATC